TATTAAATTCATTATATCGAAAGATCGACCTCGAAACAGATAATACTGACAGTGTGAAACATTTCGCAGTAATCTATTATTAAATTATTCAAATAATTTGAAAATTATTAAAACTCAACGAAAATTATATCAAGAAACGATTAATTTGTTAAGAGGAATTATTTAAATATTTATTTTTATTAATTGGTTCATAATTTAATTATTTATTTCATTTTTTTGAAATGGAATACAATAAGGTAAGATGTATTTCAAAATGAAAACGAATAATGCCAAATATTTATTGTTGTTAGTTTATAATTTTGTAACATTAGTATCAAAATATATTCATAGAATATAGAAAGAGAAAGTAAATTATTTACGCGAAAGATTTCAATAACAAGATAAACTTTTTATTGACATTTCTCAGGTTAGTAATTTGATATATATATATGTATCTGAAGAGGTAGAGGAGGAATGCTGAAAAGGATGGATGAGAATATTAAAGGTAGAAATGAGGAAAGAGTTAAAAGCTGAACAGGTGTTCATAATAATGCTATAGCTCATATGAATGAATCAATTTATAGCCTGAAAAAGACAATGAAATAATATTTAAAGTTGATAAAAATTTGAGTTTATTAAAGAGTTTAAGTTAAGGGATGAAATGATAATCAACCCATTGTAAGCGTAAATTTTGAAATTGATTATACAAAAAAAAAAATAAAGATATAATCTAAAAAAATGTAAAATATGAGAAGCTATAATGTGGAAATATATCTTGTACGGTATATTACCGTTTACATTTGTATAATTTGTACAAGTTAACATTTTTTTTTTACATTTATGAAAGTTTACATTTATACAGTAATTTTGAAAAGTATTGAAATTCAACATTCTTTTCAAATTTTCGTCAAATTTCAATCAGTTCATTTCATTAATGAATCAAATAATTTTCAATTTCATTTCTAACTAAAATTTCAACTTTTTTTTTCTTCAAAAAGGAATAATTTCAAAAAATCTATTATTAATTTAAACAATTCAAAAAAAAAAAGAAAAAATTACAATTCATTGAGGCAAGAGAAAAAACCTGATCACTTGAGTAATCATTAAAATTGTAACAACAACAGCAACGACAACAATGATGACAATAATTACAGCAACAACAATAATAATATTAACTAGTATTATTGTACAAGACAAAATTATCATTTTGAAAGAACTTGAAGGAATCTTTTATTACGACTTCCTTCGTAAACTCTATGATTTTATGCCTAATTAATTGATCATAACGAGTGGGAAAAAAGGAAATTTTCACATCCAAAGTGAAAAAAAAAAGAAAATAAAAAGAAGTATTTTAAAGAAGAATACTGTCATTTTCTGTGTGATACTTAACAAAGAGTACGTCACTTTGATTTAAACCTTATGAAGCGTTAACAAATTATTAGGGGTCTCTTTTTTTTTTGTTTTTTGAAAATTCCGAAAGAAAAAAATTTCAAAGAAACTGCTCCATTTCAAATAATCGAATGGTTGATAATATATGATATATATGATTACAGTTTAATTTAGTTTTCCTAACCGGAGATTAGTTCAGCATGAAATTGATGTCTATTAACATCAGGAAAAATTACATTGTCCTTATTGATTTAATGATTTTTATCTATCGTTAAATCCACCATCAATTAATCCAATGATGCTTACATTCAAAACATCAAAGTCTGGAAAAAGAAAAACAAAACATAAACAACAGTTTTTTTTTAAATTTAAATAAACGAATTTAATTCCATTATTTCAACAATATTTAACTTCGATATGATGAGATAATTTTACTAGTAAACAAGGTATGCTTTATTTCATTCATTATTTAATTATATTTATCAATTTTAACTCAAATAATTTTTTATAGATGATATTTAGATTATTTTATTATTTCAATTATTTCTCGTTCATAAAATGAGAGATTAATAGAAGATTCGTATAATTTTACCGAAAAACACACATAAAAATTAATGGCGATTGTTTAAATTAAGAAAAGTGTGAATAAAGTTTTAAAATATGAAAATAAAATAAGAAAAAAAAAAATTGATGAATAGTTGAAGGGAGAAAAAAGATGAGGAAAAAGACAAGGAGCTTAACAAAGTAAAGAGGATAGATAAGAATAAAAAAGTTTGAAATGGAATAAATTTAATCGAAATTTGTTTCTTTGTCCTTTTCAAGCATCCACAATAGACACATTAATATTATTTTTATACATTTATGCTCTATTTATCATTGTCAATTTAAATATGTGTCACATTAAAATTAATTAATGGCAAATTCAGAAATTGCAAAAGGAAAAATATAATGCGCTTAATAATTATTAGTGAAAGATGACAATTCTTAACCATTTCAAATGAGTTCTTTTAAATTTTGATCTGATGTTTTCAATTTTCATTTTATTTAATTGAATCTGTTGAAATGGTACTACAATAAGAAATGAATGTACTGCGTGAAATAATTCAAATAAAATGTCATTTTTTAGATTACAAAATACATTAGCAATATTCTTTAGTGGAAATTTTTACAAAAAAAAAAAATTTTAATAAAACATGAACGTAATGTTACATGATGTACATGTATAACTTGTTTTTTTTCCTTTTTTAACTTAAAATGATAAGAGTATTATCGTAGTGATTATTTCATAAAATATATTTTGGCATATTTCTGATTATTTCATAAAATATATTTTGGTGTATTTTATGAAGTTATATTTTTTGTAAAAGCATTTATTTATGCACATACCTTATCAAATTTTTTTCCTTTTCAAATATGGTGAAATTATTTGTGGGAAGAAAGAGAAAAAAAAAACTAAAAAATGGAAGAAGTAGTAGATATGATGAAAGGTATGAAAAGGTATGGAACGCAAAATTGTCACGAAAAAATTTGAAAAGAATAGCGAAAGTTGACATAGCAAATGATTGAATATTATAATATTGTTGGACAAATAATGAATAATTGTTATAAAATGGATCCTAATAACAATCCTGTATAATGAAAAAGGACAAAAAAAAAAAAGGGAAAATTGAAAAAAAAGTTTGATAATGTTTTTAAATAATTTATTTTATGTTTTAAAATGTAACAAATTAAAGAAATATCATTTGTTTTGTACGATATTTAAAAAAAAATGCTATTGTTTTTTGTTTTTTTCTTTCCTTGATTAGTGTATTTATTTATTTGTTTACTTATTTTCTCAATAGAATATTATTTCCAGTGTTAGAGAGGTGGACAAAGAAAGAAAAAGAAGAAAGGTGTCGTTGTCGTTGCTGGGATGCAGTTGTTTTATCACGGAACCGGAAAAGATTTTAGAATAAACAATATCGAAATGATTTTCAAGGAAACGTAGCAACTAAGCCCATTTAATAACATATTAATAATCATATAAAATGTAGTATTACCTGGAAAAGTATCATTCACTGCTTTTCTATTTTTTGAATTTTTTTTTGTTTTTAGAAAAGATCATATAAATTAATTGTCAAACTATTCATTTGCTTGACAATGACAGTATTTCTTAACAAATTAAAATTAACGCTAAATAAACGGAATTTTAATGTGAAAGTAACATTTGAAATAGATGAAAATATGATATGATAAGAATAATAACAGAATTATCAATAATAGTAATAATAGTAGTAATAGTAATATTAATAATAATAACAAATAATAACGACTAGCAATAATAAAAACAATAACAATAATGGCAATAGTAATAATACTAATAAAAGTAAAAATAATAGCAATAATAACAATAATGATAGTATATGGGAAATAAAACGAAAGTAAGGAAAGATGTAAGCAATCTTCCTTCCAATCAAAATATTCTTAATTTAGATATGCTGATTTTAAGTTTATCTACTGTCGACTAAGGACATCACATCTGCCTTTTCATCATCATTTGTCAATACTCATGTTTGTCACATTGATAATAAATGATTGCAGGAACTATAAGTGTAATAAATATTATGAAAAAGTAGTAATCGATTTAGAAATTTGTATTGACGAAATGAAAAAAGACAAAGAGAGAGAGAGAGAGGGGAAATGATTTTAATTTTTAAAATTTTTTTAGAAGTAAAATATATTAATTGGATATGCTATGATGACGTAACAATAATAATTATCTTGAATATATTTAAAAAAAAGGAATTCAAAAAATAAACAAATACTTAATCAAATAGATTTTCTCGTTTTTTTTCTTCCTTTCAGGGAAAAGATTGAAAAAATGAGATATATGGATGGGATATTTTGTTACTGAAAAAGATGAAATGGAATAAAACATTATTCACGCTTCTTATTATCGTTCTTTTTTTCAAAGTTATATCAAAATGAAGCATTTGAATAGTGACAGATGACGAAAAGAAGAAGAAGAAAAAAAAACAGGATGCCAATATCAAAGGAAGCAAACTAGGCTTACTGCTCATTCGAAATTTTCCGAATGAACAAATTTAATTGAGCTTAATCACTAAGCAATTTTGCATGGTTCAACAAGACAAATTCCATCAATTTGGAATTATTTATGCAATTTGTAGTAATTGTCAGTTTCATATCACACTTCAAATGAATGATGACAAATCATTCGTTATAAATTAGCCTTTCCAATGAATGATTAAATACTGCAAGTTATTAACAAACAATGATATGATATGATATGATTGTGATTATTATTTACATAATATACTAAAATAATAAATAAAATTGGTGCCAGTGAGTGTTTAGTGATAATCGTGATAATAACAGTCAAGAGAATGATACTAATGATGATAAGGTAAGAAAAGCTATAATAAAGATTATGATGATAATGTTCAAATGATTAATTGTTTACAATGCCCATAGTTATATGCATAAAACTTCTTTAAATGTTGGCTAAATCAAATATACTATCTTTTCAACAAATAAATGAATGATGATCTTTATGATTCTTGCTGATGATAATGATGAAGACGATGATGTTTTAGTAATGATGATGATGATGATGATGATGATGATGATAGTAATCATAATTCATCAAATAGAGAGGAAGAACGAAAGCATAATTCTTCTTCAAGATTCCTTGCATATTGACCAAAATCAATTTCAATTGACCAATGACAATTCATACATTCACATTCAATTATAGAGAAAGAAAGTGTTGTTTGTCGTTCATTAAACTTTTTTACGCCTTTCAATTTGTTAAATAAAATTCTGAAAGTCCAAAAATATTATCAATCAAAATGAACAAATTTTGAAAACTTTGAAACTTTTTTTTTGAGATGTAATCTTTATTTCACTTATTATTTTTTTTCTGTTGTACGGATGGTATTTTTGATCTGATTTTTTATGAACTGTCTTTTTTTTTTGAAGCTTATAAAAAGTTTTTTTTTCGTCATTTATAACAAGAAAAAGGATTGAATTATTAAAATTAGCCAATATAGCTTTAAAAGTTCAATTACTCACTTCTATATCAAATTTTTACCAATTCTTATTAGAATTTAAAAAAAAACATATATAGAAGAAGATATCGGAAAGTTTCACCTATCCTTTCAAGTTGTAAGTTATACTAGAAAAATGATTCAAAAAGAAAAAATTTTTTATCTTTATTTTCAATTATTGTTCTTACGATGGAATGGAATTATAGCAATAGTAATCAAATTTCCTCCATATACATATATTTAAAATAAAAAAAATCAATAACTTCATCAACTTTTTTTTTTTAAAAAATTAATGATTGATATTTTTTATCATTCTATTAGTTACATTTACACATATAAACATTTCTTATCATATATGCTAATAGTATGCAATCGTAGTATTGTTTTTTCTTTTTAAAATTTTAAAACCAAACAAATGCTTAAATTAATAGCTACAGTAACGAAGAAATGATAACAAATTATTGCTTGAAAAGAAGTTCAACGTATTCGAAGAGAAAATTATCAAGTTCAATCATAATGAATCAAATAGTCGAACGATTCATCTCTTCTTTTTTTCCTTTTAAATACCTAAGTATCAACCCTTTACCTCTCCTCCTCCAATATTTGCCATTTTCACCAGTTTTCCTCACTAAACAACTCTCACTTTATATTTTCATCTCTTAATTAAATTACAATTTAAGATATCTCTAACATAAAATACAAATTAAATTATTTTTCAAGATTTCTGAAAATGGAAAGGACGAATACGACAATTTTCAAGTTTATCAATCCTCATTTATATCCTTATCCAGTCACTCACATTTGTTTTATCCCCTATTCTTGGTTAATCTTTGTGTCATATATCTCATTTTATCGCTTCATTTCATTTTAAGTCATTAGCATAGTCACAAATTGGAAATCAAATTATTTGAACCGTCTTTTATTGCACCAATTACTTCATCAAGTATTAACTAATATTTAATCGAAATTCAATCTTTTTTTCAAAATAATATCGAAAATTTTAAAAATAATAGGAAAAAGGAAACCAAAAAAAAAAACAGAAATTAGTACTGTCCGATGGAATTTGATTAAATTACACAACGATATTCGAGTAGAAAAGAAAGGAAGAAAGAGATACAATAAGATAAATTCTCGAAGTGTCAGTAATAAATGATATAATAATTGTTGATACTAAAAATTCTCGATAATAATAGCTTACTGAGATTGAATAATCTTCAAATTATCATATTAGTATGGCATGGGAATAGAAATAATATCAACTAATCTTGTTGATACGATCATTTAACTAACATTTTTATGTTTCTGATAGTTGGTAATAAACCTCCAATATTTTTGTCAGCTAATAAGAAATGAAAAAATGAACAGTACTAGTCAATCTTATTGAATGCCTATTTTTCTGGTTACTTAATAAAGAATAAGAAGAAATATGATAATTTCCTCCAAGAAAAGCATCCATATAAGCGTCGTCTACGATGAAGGAAAATTATTTGATAAAAAATAAAATTGGATGACATATGCACAAGAATTAAAGTTATCATAATTTTGTTGGGCGAGCGAAAAAAATTATGAAAAATTATTACAATTAAATTTTCCATAAAGTTCTTTTTTCTTCACATTTTTTATCCAAACTTTTTCGACTTTCTAATGGTAACAATTAATTTAATTTGAAAAAATATAAAAATCGTTGAAAAAAAAATTTATTACAGTTACATACTGCTAAAGATATGTGAAGAAATAAATAGTTTAAAAACATTTTTGATTTTGCTTTGGTAATTAGTATAGACTATCAAATACTTCCATTGTTTAATTAAATTACCTGCTAAATTTTGAGGTGGCATTTAGATGATGCAAAAAATCTTTGGCCGTTTTACGATGAAAAGGGCCAATAGGATGGCGAAACATTACAACGGTTGTTGAAGTAGATGTAGTACCAGCTGATCGAGAATTCTCCATTGCTGGGCGCAATTGTCGGATTCGCTTTTGCAATTTTTCGCTGTTCTTTAATGATGCTTTAATTGGAAATCCCCCCAAAAGTCAAATTATCGGTAATATAAAAGAGTGTTTGGTATTTCTAAAATATTTCAAAAAACTTTCCTAAACTTTCATGCTAAATTATTGACGTATACAATCACGGAGCGATTATCACACTTAATCAATAAACAAATTGATAAAAGTTGAAAACAGTGAAAATTGCTCAAGTGAAGTAGGAGAAGAAAAAGAGGTATAGTTATTAAAATTTATGAAAAAAAAAACCTTTCTTTTTTGCTTAATATCAAATGGTAAAGATAGGAGCATATAAGCAAGGAAGAGAAGAAAGTTTTCCCTTTTTTTTTTGATTAAAATTTTTTTCAGACAATTGCAAAAAAAAAAAAAAAAAAATCAAATACAGGAGAGAGAAAAGATATTAATGAGATTTCTCATATTGGAAAAAAAAAGAACACAGTATGGAAAACAAGCTAAAGTTATGTTGCATTAAGGCGAAAGAAAAATGACACGAGGAATAAATTTTCCTTTCGCACATTTTTAATTATTATAATTCAAAATTATAATGAAAATAATCGAAATTCTTCAATTTAACATGAATTTAATATCAAGGAATCAATTGAAAAAAGGGAGCGATTGTTTGGTAATTAAAATTAAAACAATTGATGATGGGCACATTCCTCTTTTTAATTTTCAAAAATCGTTTCAAATTAAAATTTCGAGTAATACTTCATGAGAAAAAAAAAGAAAAAATAAAATACGGAAATATATCATATTATTGATCCTTCTCCTTTTTTTTTTTGGCATGAATTTGTCGTAAAAGTTTTAAGAATGTAAAAAGATTTTGTGAGCCAAAAAAAAAGAAACAAGATAATCTAATAGGTATTATTAAGTCTAACCAATAGATAATACAATCCAACAGGTAATATCGAATCGCTTAGTGATAAGAAATACAGTTCAAAAAATATTTGAAATTATAAATTTTTGAAAAAAGAAGCGATTATTTGGTAATTAAAAGAATTTAATGGGACGAAAAGATTGCACAGAAAATTAAAATTAAAGTGATAAACTATAACCTAAGATTTTTTTCACTTTTAGAATATTATATGGCGAGAAGTTTTTCTCTTCGTTCTTTTTAAAAAAATTTAAAATACATTGGGAAAATTTGATAAATCTTACTTGTAAACAAACAAACAAACAAATATAAACCTTTCTGTGACCTTGTCTGAGCAATGTAAACCATTAGAAGGTAACTGAAAATGGTTCAGCCCATCCATATCTATCCATCAGTTATTACTTCTCAAAATCATTCTAACTCTTCCTTTAATCGATAATGGGTCGAGGTCGGACAAAATTAGATAGTCGAAAATGATGGGAAAACTTTGAACAATAAAGAAATTTTCAGAAAGTAAAACTAACTGCTTATTATGGAAATTTCCTCTTCAATTTAGATTTTAATAGAAAGGAATTTGGGTCAAATTTAATAAATTAGCTATAATAGTTAATGGTAAGTTTATCCTTTGTTACCAAAATCACTTAATTAATCAATGCATGAAAGGAACGATGAAAAAAGACATGATATTGAAATTTAAAAACTAAAAGTTTTACACAGTCAAAGTAATCTAACCAAACTAAACCAAATCGAACCAAGCTGAACTAAACCAATTGATTGTTCAACTCATTGTCATTAATCAATCATTTGGGCATTTTGATGACAATAATTAGTAGTAATTGTGGTAATGATAATAATAATGATAATGAAATAGGAAAGTTCGAAAAAGTTATCATTTAGGTCACATACTTTGAAGTAATTGCAGAACTATTAATCTTATTGATAATCATCAATGACAATTATGAAATGAAAATATGACGAAATTTTCTTATTAATAGATCAAATTTTAATAATAGTAAACCAAAAATGTGGAATAATTATGTGAAAATATGCGGAAAAAGTTTTGGACAAATAGGTTTATTTGAAGGTATGGGCGGTAAAAGTTACTGAAAGAAAAGAGAAAAAGAAGCAAAAGATAGACGACAAAGAAATGAAAAGAAGAAAGGCGATGAATGGAATTTCGAAATTAAACCTTGGGAAAACTGAGAAATGATTTACATTCCTATCCTTCCCAGTTTTGCTTTAAGCATGCATGCATGCATGCATGCATGGATACATGATATGCACATACATATCACACACCTGTCAGAAAATTCAATTCCCTATTTGACAGTATAATTTGAAATGGTAGAAACTATCCAAACTACTACTTACCATCCAATTTATTACTCATTCTTCCTCTTTTCATCCGTTTCATCATCATCTCGACTTTTTTTCATCTATCCACTATTGTTGTTTTAAAAAGAAAAAAAAAGAGAAAAAATGATGACGACAATGACGGATGACGATTAGACGGTTGACGGTTGCTGGATAACAGATGACGGATGACAAATGATGAGTAAGGTAAGTGGAGGAAAAAGATGCCCTTGAATTTATAAAAATTAAACCTGCTGTTTTTTTCTTTTTCAAACAAAAAAGACAGGAATAATTTTTAATTATTCCTGTCTTTTTTTTTTGCTATTATTTCCTTTTTATTATTATTATTTTTTTTTCTCGAACAAAGAAATGAAATAAAATGAAAAATTTCTTTTTTTTTTTGTTTCGGAGAAGAAGAAAGAAAATTAGCTGTAATCGTTCAGTTATCCGTTTATTAAGATATTTATATGATTCGTAAACTTTTTTTTTAGAAGTCTATTATCTCACTTTCGCCCTTTTTACTTTTTTTTCATTTTTCGTCCTTTTTATGTTAAAGAAAAAAAGAAAAATTAAAAAATTTTGTCGTATTTTCATTTATTTTTTCCGACTATTTTGAGTTTGTTTTAAAATTAATTATTATTTTGTTAATTAAGCAATGAAATGATTAAGTTTTGCTTCTTTTTAATAAATATGATACACAAACAATTACTTTTTTTTCATATTATTTCCATTTTTATTTAATTGACAATTTTTAGGAATTATTTCAAACATTTTTTTTCCGTTTACAATTGTAGTAGGTGACAAAAGTATGATGACATATGTCAATATGCGTATAATATAATGATAAAAGAAAATTGAAAAAAATTAGGATGATTTTTTTATTGTTTCATAATTTTAAATGGTCATTAATCGTTTATTTAAGCAACCATATTCAACTTTTTTGAAAATCGTTTATTTAGAAATAAAAGATTTTTAAATTTTTAAAAATTTTTCCCTTTTCACTCCTTTCCTAACCAATAAAAAAGGCATGAAATGTTGAAATGTGCAATTAATTTTGACAATTTTATTTTGACAGTCATACATTTAAAGATAAAGTATGAAAAGAATTTCAACGATCTTTTTCTTTTGACATCCAATTTTATTATCATTATAATATGATAAAATATAAAATGCTTTTTTTTTTAAACTGTATTTCTTTCTTTGATTCTAATATATCGAATATTTAAGGAATCGGTGAAGCATTAAGACTAGACTTATTTGCTAGAGCTATTATGCTAAGCTCATTCTACTACTATTCAAATATATCAAAAAACAAGAAGAAGGCAAATGAATGCTAGTTTTATCAAGAAAAAAGAAAAAAAGATTGGGTAAAAGCTATGGTAAAAATCTAAGTATAGAGATTAAAATAAGAGAAATGAAAAATAAAAGTTGAAAAAGATGGGAAAAATTTTCTGCAAATTCTCATTAAAAATGAAATCAATAATTGAATGAAAAAAAA